TGACAAACCTGCCCATGCATATCAATGTCCACAGCAAAAGACATCAACCTCCTCTGCATCAGGTAACAATGATCTTGGCCTTGTCAGACACCCTCGGCAGAGCCAATAGCTTCTTAAGAACTTTACTGCCCAATGAAAAAGCCCTAGTGCAATCCACATTTATCTTCACTTCCTCTAAAACCGGTGCCCAGCTCAGTAGCTTTCCTACAAAATCAACTTCGTAGTCCAAACCCAGGAAGTCATTCACGCTTACAGTTACGAGGTGGTCCATTTGAAGGGTTAGATCTGCAATGCTCGTCTGATCTTGATCCCACAAGCTCATTGGCCCAAAATCATTATCCCATGGGAAACTCTGCACAATCAATTTTTAATCAACGTATCAAATGTAAATAGTACCAAAATTTCAGTCATTCAAGGAGATAAGGATAGAGATTGACGAATATATAAAAGGCATACCCATAGCTCAAGCTTTTTGAGGATAGGAGCATTCTGAAACAATGACACGGCCGGTCAGGATTTCCCTTTGGTCCCAGAAGCATATCTCTAATAACATCATCTCGAGGTGATCAAACACAGCAGGGATCTTCGTCATTATGCACCCTTTTGATAGATACTGCAACCAGAAAAATGAATGATGAGAAATACCAACACAGCATAATCAGGACAACATCATCATAATGCTGAAAATAACAATGAATCACCGTCAAGAAATAGCCGTTGATGACAAGTTTTTCGATGTCACTTAGGCTTCCCAATGCCTGCTTGAGGTAACTTTTCCCACCATGCACAACTGGAACAGATTGGTATTCTTGAGCTTTGTGCAGAGTGACATTTGCAGTCTCCAGATTAGGGGCATCCAAATGGAAGTCTTCATACTTCCCATCAACCTCTAGAATTTCAAGTTCAGGAGCTCGAATGTTCAGACAGCTGATGCCTTCAAAGGATTTCAAAACCAGCACAGACAACTCAGGGCAGCAGGAAATCAGATTATCAATGTCACTGTCTGTGGAGGAGAAATTTTCCAGGTCCAAAGTAGTTAACCACTCAAAACCTTTGAACATTTGGGGCAAACTGATGATGCAGTTCTTTATGTCCAGATGCTCCAAATCACTGATGGAGAAGAAGCATGATGGTATCCTATACCTTGACGCAGAGGTCAATTTGATTGTAACTGAATTTGGTGACTTCATTGACAGCTTGTGCATCCACCTACCAAATACGTCGTGGTAATTTTTGCTCCCTAAAATTGTAATCCCATGCAGAGGTCCCCTGTGGAGTGATAACGCCATATCGACCAATGTAATAAACTTGGGTGGTGCACTTGTTACTGAACCTTGACAGGAAGTGTAGGTGCAATCACACAGCAACATCTCTGGAATAGTAGTCCATGTGCTCCTCCAAACGCTTGACAGGATGTTAGTTCTGACAGCATCTTGAACATTCAGACGAGAGAGGATATCGGCTTTTATCTCTAGAGGTAGACTGCTCAATCTGTCTGACTTCGCGGCACGTCTAGACTTCACCTTGGCCTTCTTTGAGCTACCCATTACTTTGAAAATGCCCTGTCGTTACCAGAAAGCAGCAAACTTAGATGGGTATGCATTCCATCGCCAGCCTCGGAGGAAAAATAAATAATAGAAATCACAAAATATAGTACAGTGAAGTTGATTGAGGACAGAGTAAAGTACTGATGACTAGCCAGCATTCAGAGAAACAAGACTGGAAAATTTTTTTAACCGAACTTAACACGCCGACTCGTGGGTCCTTCTCTGAAAGCAACTCTAATTGTCAGTTAAAGTGTGTATAAACCATCTGGTAAGGAATCATTATCAACTATCAGCTGCAGAGATCAAACTTGTGCACAGCTGCAAGTATGGAACCACTGGATCGGTAAGCATAGCACAGTTTCTGCTGTTGAGATGAACCCATCAGACCAAGGATCAAGTGGCACAGCACATGTTTGGGGTATCACATCAAATACATATGAGAAAATCCCTTATGTACCCATGAATTTTCGCCCAATTTCTTCTGTGCCCCTAAATTTTGTCTTATCCCCTACGCACCCTTGAGTTTTCATTTTTATCCCTGATATACCCATTCCGTGAGTTGACTGTCAATTGACTGTTAGATTTTTCCAAAAATGTCTACATTACCCTTGTGTCTTACTTATTGCTTAGTACAGAGTAGTTGATTAAAAAAACATGGCTCTCAAGGTAAAAGTTGATTCATTTATAAAACCAAACATGCCATAATTACTTAATCTAAAACATAGATTTTTAAATAGGTTTCAAATCAGATTTGATGAAATTTATTGAAAATTTTCGCTGAAATTTAAATAAAAAACAGTTTTGGTTTTTCGAATTCCGAATAAAACATTTTTTGGATTTCATTATCTTTAAAAAAATGTTTGAAAAATTAATTTTGTTTTCGAAATCCAATGTTAATAATCATGTCCCTTTTTTTATTTTTAGGTTAAGCTTTTTTTATTAACAAGACTTATGTTTTTAAATTAGAAAGCATGAAGTACAAGCGAAGGGCAATATAGTCATTTTGGGACAATTCTAACGGTCAATTCACAGTCAACTCACAACATGGGTATAGAAGGGATCAAAATAAAAACTCAGGGACATACAGAGGATGAGGCAAAATTCAAGGGCACGTGAGGGATTAAGCAAAAAACTCATGTGTACATAAGGAATTTTCTAAATCAGTTGTCACATCACTGAGCAATTTCGACGGTAACCTGAATGGCATGCAGATGGCAAATGCATGAGAATCAGGAACGGAGTTAAACAAAAAGGGGAAGTCTAACCCTACATGAACAACTCTGCATCACAAATTTCACCCGGTAGCATTTCTTTCTTGCAAGATCCATCGAAGAACGGACAGGTTCTTGATTATGGCCACAACGACAAGAAAACTAAAACAAACCCTTCACAGCCCAGCCCCCATGGCGTCTGAATCATCATCAGCAGATCGCATACGAAAATTCTCTAACCAATCCCAGCCAAGAATCACACATCTAGAATGAACTAGCGTAGAAAAGGTGCACCATCATCATCATCATCAGTTCATCATCACCACACGAAGTCACGAAGAGGAGAAAGGGGTGGTTACCTAGAAGGAATAATCAATGGAGGATCGGTGGGTGAGGCCCTTACCAGGAGAGACGACGAAGAGGCAATGCGAGGGGCGCGGCCAAGCGCAGACGGGGAGAGGGAGGGAGGGAGGCGGCCGGTCGTACGGCGCGAGGCGGCGATCGGTGGCGGCGACGGCGAGGTTTTCGCTTCCCCCTCTCCGCCGAGAGAGGATGAGAGGAGAGTGAAGAGAGGCTGGGCCGGATAGGCGCATTTTGGGCCTCAATTGGATGGGCCCATATGTCGGCTTTGATTTTTTTTTTCAAACTTATTTTTTTGGTTTGGTTAAGTTTATAGAAAATTTGACAAAATCTATATTTCTTTTATTTTTCATAATATTTTTGTTTTGTGCTGAAAATATTATTATATTTTTCTATAAAGTCGGTCAAACTTTTAGGAAAAAGTGAAAATAGTCCCTAATATGAAATGGAGGGAGTACAATTATAGGCCAAATTTGGGCCCATAAAGTGGTGGGCTGAGATTTCGGTCCATCTAAAGGAAGGACACGGATGGACCTCCATCCCAGTTAAAAGGGGCCGACTGGACATTGACCGTACGTCCGTATTGCAGTCATGTGTTAGAATTTGTTTCTCTTTTTTTTAAGCAAAAACGAACAAGGTTTATTATTTTTGTTTCAGAAAAAGCAAAAAAAAAGAGAAAATTTCATAAAACTACATGTATTTTGAATAAATTATCAAACAAACTATATATTTAACATGATGTATCACAAAACTATAGATTTAACACTAAAATTATTATAGAACTATAGAATGGAATATCACAAAACTACGCATTTAGTAACACAGTTATCACCATATTATAGAATTTAAATATCATAAAACTATAAATTTAGTTACAAAGTTACCATAAAACTTGGACACCTTTAACTCTAACATAACATTATTGATTATTGTTAATGATTTGAACTCAAAAATATATAGTTTTGTGATAATTTTATTATTAAACATGTAGTTTTGTGATAAATTTAGTGTTCAATCTGTAGTTTTGTGATATATCACATTAAATCTATAATTTTGTAATAATTTGACCAAAGCATATGTAATTTTGTGGAAATTATAATTAAAAAAAGTTCACAATCGCTGCCGGCTGCCGCTGTCATTTTTGCTTGGGATCACAGCTGCTTCAGATACACCCACATCTCAAATGCAAAGCTTCATCATCAAATTAAAGAAAGAAAAACCTTCGAAGCATTTCATTCTACAAACGTTGGGCTTACCTACCGTTCGTTCGCTGTACAGGTGATGAAGAAACTGAGGGTGGTATTGCTTGTGGTTACCAAGTGGCTGGTGCCAACCACAACATCGTTTTTTAATAACTGTACCTGGAAAGCGTTGCCGTCTAAAAGAAACAAACACAGAAAGCATGTCACCCATGTCATGTCATGTGGTGGTTCATTATCCGCAATCGCCTCTTGTACATATGTCACGTGCATACCACCAATCAATGACACCAACGCATCAAAGACCACAGACAATAATCACACTGCTGTTTTTTTTATGTGCATATCCTGGTTGACCGGGAAAATTTTGTTCCATCTTGACACATAAGTAAATTCTCTTCTTAAGGATATAGAAGGGTAAACTCACTGTTATCAAAGAAAATAGTGCTTGAGAATCTATGCAACATAATAGCCCACCACCAATCACTTTTGCACGTTCTACAGATTAATCCCTGATATTTTTTATATCATGCGATAGTCATGTGTTTGTTTGAATCAAGTAAATAACATATATTTAAATAAACATAGGCATTTTACCGATAGCAAAGCATGGGTATTTCGCTAGCATTCAAGAAGAAGAGAAACTTGGAAAGTTAAGCCATCATGAACTAGGAAGGATAATGTGCTAGAGCCAACAGTTCAACACTTGATTGAACTAACTGAGCCAAGGGAAAGAAATAGTTTGTCACTCTAATCACACCAATAATTTTTATACATGAGAAAATGGCCGAGTTAAATTATTTAATACACCACCAAATTACCTCACTATATGCTCCTTTAGCTACAACACTGTCCTCCAACTTTGATCTTCTCCCGTTTACCATATACTCACAAATCACTGAAAGCTAGTATAAAAATACACTTGCAGAGAAGAAACCTGGGATGGAAACAATATGCATATTATTGGGACTAAAATTGCATCTTGGAGTTGAATTTACCCGCTGGGTGCCGCAATTACTATTTCTTCCATACTCTTCTGGAACATTATTTCTGTAGGTTTTAAGCACCCACGAATGTACTCCTGCCCAAGTTGTGCGCGCTCGTTGTCCCCAAACCCAAATACAATGCCTCTGTTTGTCACTGCAACAGTGTGGTACAGGCCAGTGCTAATTTGTGAAACATAGTGATCACGCAGACTATCGAGGACTCGAGGCCTCATTACTTTGTCGGATGATCCTCGGTCAGGAAACCCTAAACTCCCAAAGCCCATCCATCCGAATGCAAAAACTGAGCCCTCATCAGTAAGAACAAATGTCTTTCTTTTCCTTGCACAGACCTGTCAAAATTAAAGGAACATACTTAAGCCTTTATACATGAAACTACTACTAGTTCTGTTTCAAGATATGATTGTTATTAGAACAAGAAACTCCTATATCATATTAGCATGTAGCAATGCATAACTTTTGTTTTAAATACGAAAACCATAGCAATGCCCTATTTCTTGCTACATAAAGTATATTACCTCAGCCTAATCTACATGATTGATGATAGTTTAAACCAGGTTTATTCTTCGATGCTTAATGAAGTAAGAAGGAAAATGGTGCAAACATATGGAACACACCTGCACAGCAACTTGACTCTTCAAACTGCTGATCAATTCTGGGCTAGTTTTGTCATTCTCATCACCATGGCCTAATGCTCCACAGTAACCTCTGCCCCATGTATAAACCTAAAATTTTCAAACCTTAACTTCTGTCTGAAGATACATAACAATCAAAACATACAACAGATAGTTCCTTGAACAGTGTATACTTACATAACCCAGTGCATCAAGAGCTACAGCATGCTCATCACCAGCAGACACGCGAACCACATGAATATTCCTCCTCTTGAATGACTGGATTGCACGTGGACGAAGTTCATCATGCTGATCTCCATGTCCAAGGCAGAAGTTGGTACAAGAGCCAAAGGAATAAACTGTTCCATCATCCGTTACAGCAAATGTATAGCTGGCACCAGCAGCAACCTGCACTACCGGAGCAAGGCCTTCAAATAATTCAACGATCTTTGGAGTAGCCCTGTCTATTGTGTCACCATGACCAAGCTGGCCATGTGTGTTACTTCCACATGTATATACTTGCCCATCCGTTGTAAGAATGACAGTAAAACTTAAACCAGTGGCAACCTGCAAAAAGGGGAATAGATAGAATTAAGAAAAAGAGGAAGAGTTTTGCAGACTTGACTAGACCAGACATATGAAACAACTACCTATAAGGCTATAACAGCCTTATTGTCTATTAACAAATTTAGTTACAAAAAGTAGGGTCTTCCCTCCATTTTATATCAACAAATAAATAAATTTGACCACAAAACTAAAACATCGTTCCTGTTGCATCAAATAACTAGAGCATTGTTCTGTTTTTACAAAATGAAATATAATAATTGAAAGAGGCATTTATTCCATTGTAGGAGATATGGAACATAAAAGGATAATAAAGATGATTGGGTCCACCTGTTTGCAAGAAATTCCTTTTAGGGCCTTTATTTCGGTTGGTCGAAATATAGTTCGCCCCACCTCACCGTGACCACAGCATAATGATGAATTATCTCCACAAGTGAAGACCTATTTGAACAAAATTCACAGCGTTCAAAGTATTAGAAATATTACAATTGACAATATACAGTGTTTAAGATGAGCATCAATTACCTCCCCTAACTCTGTGACAAAAGCTGCATGGTTGTGAGAGGCAGAGATGTTGACAACACGAGAAAGTGATGGGAAGGGAACCCTGCTGAATGCCGCACACTGGGTTGTATCTGGGCCATGACCTAGCACCCCACACAAACTGGATCCACAAGAATAGACAGAAGAGTCATGGACCAAAAGTGTGTGATATCTTCCTGTCGCTACTTGCATCTGGAAACATACAGCATGTTCACATATATAAGAAACCAGGTTGGAAATGTCTTCTAACATTAAAAAGAAAATCTAACTTTCCAGTTTCATACTAAAGATAGAATTGTTCATGAGGGAAACTATTCCCAAGTGCAACAATGCAACTTTTGTTGATCATTTGGTCTTCATATTGGCAAGCATAGCAGAATGGCAATAAGTAACATGTCCAACATAGAGCATACTCTCAAACTGGTAGAGCAGATGAGCTAGGATGTTAATAAAAGAAAAAAAATCTAGAATAAAAGTAAATTAGGCACCCTCCAGAACAATCTGATGCAGTAGGCACGCCAAATAATTATGCGCCATATATTTTTAAAATGTCTGACTTGAAATTCAATCAGTGTAAGAAAAACAACTAAGATATGATGGATTCAAAGCAACTGAGGCATCAGCAACATATTCCCATTCAGCCAAGTGTGTCGTATCTAAAAGAAAATGAAAAAACACAAGGTACCATATGTTTATTATAAATCATTTCCAATGTCCACATATCCTCCTCATTCAGAAGCATGCCAACTTACAAATCAATAAATCATAGAATTGTTAGTAATTTTGTTCATCAGGAATGAGCTGGTCAACCTCTCTTAATTCTATAACAAGCAAAAAAAAAAAGAAAAAGCTCACAATAGACTACAAACGCATGCCTTAACTTGGTGTTAAGATGTTTCATTGTCCCTAGTGTAATCCAAATGTGGATATCCGATTCCTATCACGAAGTTTCCGAATTCACAAAGTCATGCATGCATGATCAAACATGGATCCCTAAAACGGGCAAAGGTGTGAGGCAAGCACAATCATCTCTACCAGGCTATCCTACACCACACAAAGTCAAACTAAGGTTGCATTTACTAGTATCTCAGAATTCAGATGCGAAGCAAAGAAATCCTCACGTTGCCGGAGGAGGTGTGGACGGTGCCGGAGGACTGCTCGACGGACTGCAGGAACCTGAGCACCTTCTTCCAGCTGCCGCCGCACCGCTCCAGGAGCTCCCCGCGCGCGGCGGGGCCCATGGCCGCGAACGCCGCCCGCGCGGCGCAGAGCCTGGAGGCGGCGTGCTCGGCGAGCGGGCGGAGCGCGCGGCACGTGGCCTCGAGCCGCGCGAGGTCCCCGGCGGCGAGGCGGCCGGAGGTCAGGACCTCCCCGATGAGGTGGCCGGGGAGCTCCTCCATCGAGAAAGCCCGCGGCGCCTTCTCCCCCGTCGCCATGGATCCACCCCTCCCGCCGCGATCCCCGCCTCCGCCCGACGAAATCTTGGCGGCCTTGCCCCTGGATCGATCGGAATCATCCAAGGACGACGCCGACCCCGACGCCGCCGTACGGATCGAAATGGCGACGAACTCCGCGGCGAGCTCCCCCCCTCCCCTCCGGCGGATCAAATCGAATCGAATCCAATCGAATCGAATCAATCGCTCACCAAATCCCGCCAAGAAACACTAATCCAGCAGCAGAGCAGAGCGAGGAATTGGGGGAGTAAATCCGGGGTGCGATTTGAGGGCGGGGGAAGCGGAGAAGAATCCCTCCAAATCCGAAAATCCGCGAGGATTTATACGCTCTCGCGCAAGCGCATCAACGCACGAACACGAGCACGAACCGAAAGGAGGACGAAAAATAAAAATAAAAAATAAAAAAGAAGAGGAGGAGCAGGAGAAATTTTCTTCACGCAAGTAAAGACTAAAGAGGGGCTCCGGAAATAAAAAAAAATGCTTGGATCCAGAGGCTCCTCCACTAGTAGCTGGCGCCGTCACCCACTGACCAGTGGGCCCAGCGGCAGGTGGCCTCACCTGTCAGAAGTCACACTCACCCGGTGGTGGCACGTGGCCTCGCGGTGACTGACGAGGTGGGGACAGTGGAGGGTGGGGCCGGGGGGTCAGTGGGGTTGGAGGGTGCGCGCGGGGGAAAGAAGGTTCGAGATCCCGGGGGGAGGAGGAGAGGAAGAGGACGTGGCGGGCACTATCGCCTACAGGGGTGACGTGTCAAGCCGGGATTGGGCGCGAGTTGGCGATGGGGACCCGGCACGGTGGCACGGCCAGGCGATCGGTTTCCTCGGCAACTCGGCGCCACGGCTGGACAAGGCGCAGGCAGCGACAGGCGAGGGGCAATGCAAATGGCATGGTGGGGTTGCAAATTGCAATTTTGCATTATTAGCGGAGCAAAAGCACCAACGGCTCGTTGATTTTGTTCGCTCCCATCTAATCACATTATTTTTTCGTCCCCAGCCCGGGTGGTGTTCGGTCACAGGAGTTTTTGTCCAATCCCTTGTCAACATAGTGTGGTTACAGCTCGAGACTTTTATTGTGCTGTGATTCTTTCTTTTCTTATTACATTATTTCCGTTACACGGCGGACACACCATTATACGTGAAACATGATACACACCACTGCGCATGCAACACCACGCTCACACTTCCACGAGTGCGTCTCTTCACACACGCTCAGAGAGATAAAAACTGGCTGTATATTTATGATCACACTAAATCCTATTGATATTTACTTACGTACGCGTAATATTTATGGGTAGCAAGATTTGAACCCTAATGGGTAAAGTCATGCACTCACTAATGACTCTATCACCACCCCGTGCTTTCCTTACTGTGTAGTGATTCTCGTGGCATCATGTCTCGATGTTTTTATGTTTATACTTGGAGCACATCCTTTAGTGACATAACCTTTTATTGCACACTCCACCGAAAACCAACTATCACATGTTCATTCTTTTCAAACACTAGCGAAGTGACAATTCTTTCGTGATAGGTGATACCCCTCGAGAATCATACCATGGTCCATTCTTGATGCTACCACCAATAAATTATGAGAGAATTTCTTTTATGTCCAAGTCTTCGCTGCTCATAATATTTCTATCACCATTATACTTACAAGAGTGAGGAAGAGATGCGGGCGACGGCGGCACGAGAGGAAGACAAAGGCGGAGGCGAAGGCGGCGATGCGAGGCAGAGGTGACGGCGTGAGAAGAAAGCGGATACGACAGCGGCGGCGAGAGAGGTAAAGGGCGAGATGACATGGAAGAGGGGATGCGGGCGGCGGTGGCGCGAGGGGAAGACGAAGGCGGACGCGGAGGCGGAGACGGCGGCGCGAAACGATACTGACGGCACCAGACAGAGGTGGCGGCACGAGAGGAAAGCAAAGGCGGCGGCGGCAAGAGAGGGAGAGAGCAAGAGACAACGGCTAGGGTTTTGGATCTGTGAGAGCCACTTTGCGAAAAAAAAACCTTCAGTTTTGACAATTTTAAGCACAGCCCTTATTCACTTTTTTCTCTTCTTCGTGACGAATATCTGGTTTATGTAAGGGCTTAAACGTAAAATATCAGTTCAAAGACTGTTTGGGAGGGACTTAGATCGAATTAAACTCAAACTAAAGGGTTTTTTCGTAAAACTTCAAGCGCGTACTGTTCCTATCCTACGTGGATACTGGATAGCGCGTCTGCGCGCCTAACCGGACAGCCTTGAAGAGTAAATTTTCATATATTTTTTTTTACCCACGAGTCTCAAAATGCCCTCTCGCTTGTGAATAAGTGTTGCCATAAAAATCATGATCCTCAAAGTGAAAACGAGTTCAACTTAAAATTATTTGACCCTTAATTTAAGGAAAAACCAGTTCGAAAAGCATTAAAAGTTCCCTTTTTGATTTTATAGTACCAGAAGTTCTCAACTCAGGGGCAACCCACATTGAAGGTATATACAATGGTACAACCTAGTATAGGCTCCTAATTAAAACACATTAGTTATAGATTGGCTTTTGAGACAACATAGCCTGCACAAAAAAAAATTACTTTTCTTTCCTCTTCTCTACCTCCATGGAACAAAATTTCCTTCATTCAATGTTAAGAGTCGATCTTGAGTTGAGTTGGTGTCATGCGTATGAAAGGGTCAATTAGGCCTAGAGGGGGGTAAATAGGCTAATTTACAACTTAAGAAATGCGGAAGCAGTAATTTTCAGAACTAGGCTGGGAATTTTCGGAACTTCCGAAAGGATTTTCGGAACTTCCGAAAATGCACAGAGCAATGCACACAAAAGAAAAATCTAGATCTAGAAGTCTATTACAGGGAATACAAGGCACAATCAGCAACTAGACCAATAGTGGCACAAGCAAGCAAAGCTAGAGGAGAGGGATAAAGAAATATCACCAAGATGTAGCTCCCAAAGTTGTTCCCGGAGTTCAAATCCTTGAGGGGATTCTACTCTCCGTTGAGGAGCTCACTAAGAGCCGGGTCTTTGCTAACCCTTTCCTCAAGAGGTTGTACTAAGTACTCCTCCTTCCACTAAGAGGTATATCTTCCCTTGCGGAGGCGAGATCCGGCCTTCACAAACTTCTCCCGGCCAACCACAGGTAGATCGGTGGCTCGGGAGTGACACCTAGCCGTCTAGGAGTCCTCAACCTCCAAGAGTAAAAGATGATGTAAAGAACTCCCGGAGATGATGCAAGTGCTCACAAATCTTCACAAAGACCACAAGTAGCATCCACACAAACTCGAATCCACACTCTCACACACACACACCAAATCTGAATCAAACACGAGTGGAGAGATGAATCGAGGAAGCAAGGCTCAAATGAACTAGAGAAAGAGAGCAAGCAAAGGGCACAAATAATTGGAATAGAACCAGCAGCCCTCACAAGTGAGGGGAGGTGGGTATTTATACCCACAGCACAAATCTGCCCATTGGAGTGCAATAAAAGTAATTTTCGGAACTTCCGAAACAATTTTCGGAACTTCCGAAAATTCCAGATCTGAGAAAAAAATCGAAGTCAACGCAATTTTTGGAACTTCCGAAAAACATTTTCGGAACTTCCGAAAATTTCCAGAACGCTTCTGTGTATTTTCGGAACTTCCAAAAATTTCCAGAGAGCTCTCAAACGGTTCTGTGTATTTTCGGAACTTCCGAAAATTTCCAGAACGCTCAAAAACGGTTATGTGTATTTTCGGAACTTCCGAAAATTCTTTTCGGAACTTCCAAAAATTTTCAGAACGCTCCAAAAGAGAAATGCTTCGAAGAAAAATTGATTTTGAGCACACGCGTCACTCCTTATATGTCTATGCATCATCCTCCTTAATAGTACAGCTTTCCTACGACACAATGCGAGGAAAAAGATACAATATACTATTTGATCATTGCCGCATTGCATCGCGATGTCGCATTCACGGGATATGCATTGTATTACAACACGTTGAGGACTTAACAAACTTCACATTTGCTTGAATAAAAATGTTAGTCCTCTCTAATTGTATTGTAATCAATCATCAAAATCATTAGGGGCCTAGATGCACTTTCAGCGTAGCAACAATGTTTCTCTTTCTCCTATCTCTCTCTTTCATGTTACCAAATTTACTTAGATGGCAACAAAGAGAGCCCGCTAATAAAGATCGTTGTATATGATGAAAGTGAATGACTTACAACAATAGGATGCTCCTGTCATCAAGTTCATCAAGCGCCGCCCTTGAGCCTATCTGGCGGTTGCCTATGCACCGTCACAATACCATAACTTCGCCTATGAAACTTGACGAAAAATGTTGTTCCAATACATATCTTGCTGGCTAGCTAACCAATCTTGATTTTATGTATAAAAATGTGCACATGCAAATTCAAAATGACAATTAAGTGTTTTAAGAAAAACGAGGTGATTTTAACGTATGATTAATTGAATTTTAATTATTACAAACTTGAAAAATAGATTAATATGATATTTTAGAGTAACTTTTATATTAAAAGTTTTCGCACGAAACACACCGTTTAGCAGTTTAAAAAGCGTGCCACGAGTATCCAAATTTTCATCCCATTTTTTAGTGGAAACGAACGGGACCGAAAGCTCATCTGCTTCAATACCTGTTGGCACCCCTAAGCTTACACAGGCGCACCATCATACACGAGCTCATCGATTGCACCTGATCGAACTCACTTGGACACGTCGTCCTGTAGCTCATCTACTAGCACCCTCAATCTCATCTATTTGTGCTGCCCATGAGCTCACCCTCCTGCCCTTTCTACAACTCTTCAATGGAGCTCATTTGCTGTGGTACGTTAAGGAGGAAGACATGGTCACGCTGTGGGAAGTAATGGTAGTTTGAATAGAATGCTAAAATGAGTATTAGAGGGAACTTTCGATACTACTAAAGCTAAAATGGACTTTTTTTCCCTATAAAACTAAAGTGGGAATGTTTGGCGTTGTAGAACCAATTATCCCCAAGTTAAAAACTGAAATTTAACTATTCAAATGAACTATGATCAAATTTTACGAAAATTTAGAAGACACTTGACCCCTTAGTGGAATTTTCTTGAAATTTGGTTGAAGTTGATAAAAATTACATATTTTTGTTTCTAGTAGAGGAAAAAGGGAGATAAAGGTGTTTTGTCTAATTCCCCTATGAAAATTTATCAAATTTGATTGTACAATGAAATTTCTCATAATTTATATATATCCAACCATATTATGATGAATGAATATTGCATGATTATACCCATATAGCATAATCAATAAGTTTATTATTGAAGTGTGGTTAAAGTTTAAATATAAATGGTGGCGTCAGATGACAAGTTTCGTAAAAGGAGGTAGTAATTAGTTGAAAAGTTCAGTTTAGAAAAATAAATACTAGTTTTGTTGTTAAAATAAGTGGTTGTCCTAGGTTTGCCGGATTGCTTGATTGCAACAAGCAGCAACTGTGCTATTCTCCAGATCCCAGT